TGCCATTTCTCTCTTTTTACAACTTGTTTTGTTTTTAATACCATGTTTCTAGTTCTATCATTCATTTGTGACCATCACTCGATAGAAATAGTTATTTCTCGGTCAATATAATAGCTGCCGGATCAAGATTTTCTCGTCCCTCTTGTAGTTGCACAAATATGATGTTAGTTTGATGGTTGTTAGTGATGACTTAGAAATAGTTATTTCTTATTCAACTGAGAAATAACAAAACCATTTTTTCTTGTATATCTATTTGTTGCACAGGTAAAAGAACAAAGAGCAATGCAGTGAGAATTGTGTTGCCAGTTGTAGGCTCTAGTGTTCTGATGCTCATATGTATCTCCCTTGCATGGTTAAAATTCAAAGGTACGTTTAGTTAACTCTGTTTAGTAGAAGGTTATATTGGCCACTTTATGAGAGAGTATGTGTCACCGTCTAAACTTGGACTACAACGTCTACTTACCGCAATATACCCTTAGATTACAAAATCCTCTAAAGCACATGAATGGAAACGAGATAAAATAATTTTGTAGACGGTTTAGAGCATGATTTAGCTACTATTTGTGGTGGTGTAATGATAACATGTAATCTAGTGATGGATAAGGTGGATTCCACATGTTGGACAAACCACATTCCCTTCTTGCCGCTTTTCATATTCATGCAATCGCAACAATAGAGATACTGGTTATCGTGGGGTTGAGAAACAGAGCAACATCTAGTGGCTGGGTGGTAGATGTGCCTCGTGGGTTATTTCCTCTAGTTCGATGAGTTCATAAATTAGGGAATAATATACAAACATCAATAGTTGTAGGGGTCAAATATAATTTTATTATTTCTTATTTTGTGATGTTCTCATTAGAGATGAAGTCACTTTTAACTTTATGGGAGCAGGCAAGAACAAGAAAGGGACAACACAAAAGAATATAAGATTGGAGGGTATGAGTATCTCCGATGAATTTGAAGAAGAAAACTCTCCCCATGATCAAGAATTCCCATTTGTAAGATTAGAAGAAATTGCCTTTGCAACCCACAATTTCTCTAAAACATGCATGATTGAACGGGGAGGCTTTGGTAAAGTATACAAGGTAACTCATTAAATATGTTCTTTCCTAGGATTAATTCTAATGAAGAGAGCTAATTTTTTCATACTACACAGTCAAGTATAAGATTTTCACTATATTTCTGTAGGGAATGTTAGGTGGTCAAGAAGTTGCAATCAAGAGGCTAAGTAGAGATTCTCAACAAGGAACAAAAGAATTTAGGAATGAAGTAATTCTAATTGCCAAATTGCAACATAGAAACTTGGTTCGACTTCTTGGATGCTGCAGTGAGGGAGATGAAAAGCTCCTGATATACGAGTATCTGCCAAACAAGAGCTTATATGCTACCCTTTTTGGTGCGTATTCTAATAACAAACCATGATTTCTATGACAACTTGAACTTGTTTCTTACATTTGTTTCTATTTTTAGATGAGTCGAGAAAACTGTTGTTGGATTGGGCGACACACTTTCGTATAATCAAAGGGGTTGCAAAGGGACTTCGGTATCTTCACGAAGACTCAAGGTTCACCATAATTCATAGAGACCTCAAAGCTGCAAATGTTTTGTTAGATGCAGATTTTAAACCCAAGATAGCAGATTTTGGTATGGCGAGGATCTTTGGCGATAACTTGGAAAATGCGAATACCCAACACGTTGTTGGAACATAGTGAGTATCCTTTTAAAAACCCATATTGTTTTTTCACCAAGTTTAACTCCCATTAGACACCTCTTGTAATTAAAATGATCAAACCGTGGTTACATGGCTCCTGAGTATGCAATGGAAGGTGTCTTCTCTACCAAGTCCGACGTCTATAGTTTCGGCGTGTTACTATTGGAGGTTGTAACTGGTATAAGGAGAAACTCCATTAGTCAAACCATGGGATTCTCTAGCCTCACAGTATATGTGAGTACACATGAATTCTGTCAAATGTCGTTATGAAAAGTGGATCAAATACAAGGAGTTTTTGTTGGATATTGAAAATTGATACTGATATGATGTTTTTGGTTGTTTCAGTCATGGAATATGTGGAAGGAAGTGAAACGCCCCGGACACACCCGCCGGTGGTCGTTACTCCTGACGGGATCTAGACTGGCCCCACAGATTAATACCAGTCTTTTCTGCGCACGTTGTCCTCACTCGTGCGCACCCGGGAGCAACTTCCCGGTCGGTCACCCATCCTGACACTACTCCAAGCTGAGCACGCTTAACTTTGGAGTTCTGTCCGAATGGGCTCCCAGAAAAGAAGGAATCCTTATTGATATGAGTAGTCTACCATCCCTAATAAGCCAGGCTATCACATACACCCCCACTCAGAGGAACCGACGTCCTCGTCGGGTCACAGGAACGTTCCCTCTTGGCACAAACGTCTGTGCTTCCAGTCCGGTACATGTGCCTTGCCGGGTGCCACGACGGGTCACAAATGTCATGAACAACATGACCACGCACCTGTCCGCAACCATCCGTGTAACTACGAGGGTCGACTCTGATACCAACTTGTAACACCCTCGATGCGACTATATCTCCCACGTGTCGAGGCACGACTTAGAGGCATAATCGCATTGAAGGCATATGTCGCAAGTTAGGCAATCTTCATAACATCCCATGTAATATATAGATAATAAAAGGGGAGATAACATAGTTGGCTTACACTCGCCACGTCAATTAAGTACATAAATAACATTACATCATTCAAACACTCATGGCCCGACTACGGCGCCAAAATAAAAGATAACCCAACATGCGACACGGTCCCGATCACCCCAACTGGGCACCACTACTGATCATCAGGGAAAGACACGTAGTATCATTGAGAGTCCTCGTCGAACTCCCACTTGAGCTCAAGCGCGTCACCTGGAGCGGGATCATCAGGCCCTGCATCTGGTTTAATAGTAATCTGTGAGCCACAGGGGCTCAGCAATCTCGCACCCACGTGATCAAGACTATTTAAGCTTATAGGTAAGGCAAGGTAAAAATATGTGGAGCTGCAACAAGCGACTAGCAAAAATGGTGGCTATCCTGTTCGCAAAAGAGAGCGAGAAGAGGAGGCAAAGCGCGAGCGAGAAACTAGAGGGCAACTTGCGCAAGCATTACTCCAACACCGTGTTCACTTCCCGGACTCCGCCGAGAAGAGACCATCACGGTAACTCACACTGTTGATTCATTTTAATTAAGTTAAGGTTCAAGTTATCTACAACCGGACATTAACAAATTCCCATCTGCCCATAACCGCGGGCACGACTTTCGAAAGTTCAAATCCCTGCAGGGGAGTCCCAACTTAGCCCATGACAAGCTCTCACGGTCAACGAAGGAATATACCTCCTCTCGAGACGTTCCGATCAGACTCGGTACCTCGGTTCTTCAAGACACTTCGACAGGTTAAAACAAGACCAGCAACGCCGCCCGGATGTGCCAACAAATCCCGATAGGAGCTGCACATATCTCGTTCTTAGGGCACACTCAGATGAGACATCCTACGAGTAAAACCAACCCTCAAGTTGCCCCGAGGTGGCCCCGCAGTCTACTCGGTCGGACCAACACTCAGAGGAGCACTGGCCCGGGGGGGGGGG